CTTGCTTGGGAGGGGGGGCGGCCTTGGGGCAGGCACGCACTGGTTTCCCTCTGGGGGAAGGGGGGAATCCTGGGAGGAGGCAGATGCAGGGGACACTCTGCCTCCACTGGCACCTCATTCCCCAGCCCCCTGTCCCCGCTCCCCTGTCTCCTGCTGTAGAATGCTGTCCTCTGCCCTTCCAGCACCCTGTTCCCTCTCCCGTCCCCAGACGCAGAACTCTGTCCCCACAAAAAGTATAATTCTGAATGCTTCATTTTAGATTTCAATAGCATGAATAAAAAACAGACCATTTATTTCATAACTATAAACACGTGATTTTAATTGTATATATCGCATAATTTAAAAATAAACTGTTTATCAGAGTGTGTAAGTAAGGGCTGGGGATAGCAAGTGATGGACAGGAGAAAAGAGAGCGCGGGGCTTCAAGGTAGGGGCAGGGCGGTAGATCGTCACCTGTTCTGAGATTTAAAAAGTGATCTTGGGTGTAAAAAGTTTGGAGACCACTGGTGTACACTATCCTATCCCTACTATGACCAGAAAACCACTAATTGTACATTTCTCGTGTTTATAAATTAAATGTGTGCTAGACTGTATAGTAGGTGATATACACACACACACGTATGTGTACTTCTTTGTTTTGTTGCACTATAATTTAAATCTATTTTGTTTATCGATTTAAATAGCATGAATAAAAAACAGACCATTTATTTCATAACTATAAACACGTGACTTTAATTGTATATATCGCATAATTTAAAAATAAACTGTTTATCAGAGTGTGTAAGTAAGGGCTGGGGATAGCAAGTGATGGACAGGAGAAAAGAGAGCGCGGGGCTTCAAGGTAGGGGCAGGGCGGTAGATCGTCACCTGTTCTGAGATTTAAAAAGTGATCTTGGGTGTAAAAAGTTTGGAGACCACTGGTGTACACTATCCTATCCCTACTATGACCAGAAAACCACTAATTGTACATTTCTCGTGTTTATAAATTAAATGTGTGCTAGACTGTATAGTAGGTGATATACACACACACACGTATGTGTACTTCTTTGTTTTGTTGCACTATAATTTAAATCTATTTTGTTTATCATTATTATTATTATTTATTATTTATTATAGCACTCCAGCCATCTGGGGTCTGAACTATGGGTGTTCCCAGATCAGACACTTGGCTTAGGAGGTTCAAGTGTAACAGAAATTACATAATTCCCACTTGTCAAGAGAAATCCATATTTCGTGACCAACCTCATGCTCAGTGATCGCTCTGCATTGAATCAATGTCTGGTTTCTACCGTACTTAAAGGAAGCATAAACTTGTGGCTGATGCACACAACCATGAGGCAGAAGATGTGGATTCTAGTCTCCATTTTGCTGCAGACTTTTTCTGACCTTGTTCCAGACAGGGTCGATACCTATCTTTGTTTAAACACTTCTTCGAGCATCTCCAAACTAAGTAGTCTAATGGCAGCCCTATTCATGTATAGTAGGTGATATACACACACACACACGTATGTGTACTTCTAGTTTGTTTGCTCTCACAGATGAACCATTCCTCTGTGCTGAGGCCTTCTGATCTTATTCTTAGATTATCAGCATTACCCAATGTGCTCTTTACCAAGGAGCATGGCTTGTCATTTTCCTCACCTGCCATCTGTTTCAGTGGCTTGATGCCTCATTAAGGGCCAGGTTATGGGACCACTTGATCAGTGAGCAGTTAATTCATAAAAATAGTTGCACTGAAGTTAATGTGAGTGACTGCTCATCAGTGTAAGTAGTTCAGTCTGATCTTAATGTATTTGAGGTAAGAACAGACTTCAGGATACTGTTGTTTGTAGAGCATGACTCTTGCTACCTTTTGTGCCTTTTGCAGAAACACTTGGGAAGATCTAGTTTTCCCTGATCCAGATTGTATGTTTGTAAAATCCAGTCTGAAACACACATAGCTTTGACACTCAGTGGAAAAAGCTTAGCTAAATTCTCCACAGCAGTGCGTTATTGTTAGATTGCTTAAATCTGACGGATGTTAGGAAATAAAACCAGTGAGTTACATTTGTTGCTGTAGAAAAATAGCACTGTCCAGAAGTCCAGTGGCTCTGAGGGTATGTGTGAGCCCATTGGTAGAAGAGCCTAGAGAGATTTTGGGAGTGATTTAGGACTATGTTGGCTTATGGAATCCTTAAAACGGAAAGGCAAGTCCCCAGTCCTGGAATGTATCCAGTATAAAGCACCAGAGCTAGTTTTAATTGCTGACTTAGTTATTACTGTGCTTTGTTTAACAAAGAAACAATGGAAAACCTCTACTGATTTGGAATCAGTCCACATAGTAGCTGGTGAGCCGCAGCTGCTGCTAGGCTGACAAAACTCTGGTGATTCAAGTCACAGGCTAAGTTTTGGCAGAGCCCTTAAGGGGCCAATCTTCAGTCTTCGCCATATAAATGTTGCATCAATGTGCAATGATGCCCTCACTCATAGCTTCAGGTTAGGCTCCTATCTTCCACAAAGACAACTATCTGCATGCTAGGTAGATATTAAAGGGTGGGAGGAATTGTTTGGGGTCCATCTTTCTGCCTGTGCAGGAATGTCCATTAGTAGAAGTTCTCTCCTCAGATGTATCAAGCAATGAAGCTTCTGCCACTCTAGGAGACTATTCTATTTGCATGATCACTAGAGGACAAATCTACCAAACTAGTTGTGTGTTTGGCATGTGCTTCTAAGGCTTTTAATGAATTGCTAGCTGCTCCTGCAGTTGCATGGTGAACTTTCATTGTGGTGATCGCTGAGTTCCATTCAGGGGTACAAGCCCTTTGTTTGAAATCGATTACTTCTCTGAATTCAAGCTGTGTCTGTCCTACACTCTAATGTGTCTCTCTGCACCTCTTGTCCTAACATATAGGCAGAAGATGTGCGAGAACTTGTAGATAATGAACTGGGATTTAAACAAACTGCATTAAACTGCCCATCCAAGATTAAAACCTACTTTTTTGTATCCAATGAAAAGAAGATAATTGGTTGTTTAATTGCTGAACAAATCAAACAGGTATGTGTTCTAAATAGTATCTTAACCATGTCAGATGAAAGCAAATTGCATTCAGACTTAGAGTTGTTAGCATTGATCTAAGTTTATATGCCACAGCTACTCCTGGCCTTACAAAGAGGATGGGAAAACAGGACTGGACTGATTTGGTTTTAGAGCTCTATCCTCTCACCAACAACAAAATGCATGTTACAAGAATTAACCAAATTTTTAGAGATGGATGGAAAAAATCTTCTGCTCAGTATTTCTTCAACTAAATGTAGGTGTTGGGCCATGTTGGTATATGTAACCATCTACCTTTCTTTAAATGACCAACATAAGAGATAGCTGATTGCCTTTGGTGTCACTGTAGCAAATTCACTTGTGAGTTTTCTGTATTTATCTCAGGATAGACTAATTTGACTTGGTTTTTCTCCTTGATAGGCATTCCGGGTGCTGTCTGAGCCTAATGTTCCACAGTCCCCTAATCGAGACATCCTGCAGCACCATCGTGCTTGGCGTTGCTCCGCAAAGCCGGAAGCTGCCATTTGTGGGGTTAGTAGAATCTGGGTGTTCAGCCTGATGCGGCGAAGAGGCATTGCACGTCGTATGGTGGATGTAGTCAGGTAAGGAAAAGGGATGCCAGTCCCAAGATGAACTGCAGAGTAGGCCATTAATAGGGCTGCAACATAAGTATAGCAGGAGACTCTTGGAATTTCTGGGAAACTGGTTGTAGTGGTTGCACACGTGATGGGGAACGAGATGGCTTATTTTTGCGGGGAAGAAAGTGCTTGAGCAAAAATTAACGAATGTGCTTAAGAAAGGTGTAAGCTAATGATAGGAGACTCTTGGAATTTCTGGGAAACTAGTTGTAGTGGTTGTACACATGATGGGAACAAGATAGCTGATTTTCGCGGGGAAGAAAGTGCTTGCAGCAAAAATATTAAGCAAAAATATGTGCTTAAAGGTGTAAGCTAATGTCATTCAGAGGTTCATGGCGCAATGCTGCGTGTACAGATTGAAGCATGCACTTGGGCACAGACTTGTCAGACCTGGTGCTTTTGTGATGAATGGTATAAAGACACTTAGCTGCCATACTGCTATGGCTCTTTGCTTTTTGACAGTGCTCATCTTTGGCTAGACAGTGCATGTGGTGACTTCAGTGGAAGTAGAGTTTAGTTGTCTGAGCACTTCTCAAAACATCACTACAGCAGTGGCTCTCAATTTTCCATAGACCACCAGCCAACCATCCATGATGACACAATGCAGTCACATACCTCTAAATAGTTTAAATACTAAATTATTCATATTAGGTTCCTGGAACATAAAAATATAAATAAGCAGCTATAACATGGGGGCATAGATAACCAGTAAGAGGAAATATTACTCAAAATCATTAAGGTTTGGTAAACTACTTACAGAAAACGTTTCAGCATTGCCTGTCCATGCTAGATTGGGGAACCTTTTTGGGGGTCAGGGACCACTGACTGACAGATCATTCTGGGGTCATAAAAGTGCAGAGCAAACCCTAACCCCACCCTGCTGTGGCCCCTGACTGAGACCCA